AATGAGTGAGTAAGCGAACATTGTAGTTAGTGAGTGATGAGTGAGTGAATATTTGAGTAAGCGAGCTAATGCGACAATGGGTGAGTGAGTGAGCATGTGAGTTGTCAGCTAATGAAGCAGTTAATGTGTGTGTGAGAGAGACCTTGGGAGTTAGTCAACGTTGGTGAGTAAGTGAGAGCGAATTTCAGTTATTATTGCATTTTTTCGTTGTCTTCAATTCCGAGTCCGATCGATGTCGCATATAGGTAATCCTTTTAAAAAAGCCCGACTTAAAAACGGAGCTATAAAAATATTATACCTAGAAGTTTGCCGAGGAAATAAGGTCGGATCGGGCAATAATTTTAAAATTGACTTTCCGTCCACCAAATGTTCCGTGTTTTTTAACACGAGCCGAGTCGGGTATTGCTTATTAGACGATGGAACAACAGAGATATTCGAATTTTTCAAGGGCTTGTAAGAAAGAAGAGGAGGATAAATTCCTGAAACGTTCCTCAAATGAGATAGGGTCGGAAACCACCGGCGGGCGGTGGATATGCAAATGAAAAAAATGTTTTTTGACCAGATTTAAAAGGATGCCGGCTCGAGTATTTAAGCGGTAAATGGGGAAATTAGAGGTGGAGTGCAGAATGGTATATTGGAGGGCAGAGTGGTTGATGAGAACTGCTCTGCATTACCCTTCCCCTCCCACACATCTTTCTTTCATTTTCTTACTCACCCCTCGGAGGCACCCTATCTTCACTAATTGCACATTCTTGGCATAGTTCCCTCAACCCCCGGCCCCGATCCCTCTCCAGACTTATTTTCGCGCCCCCGAAGCTCGACCTCCCCCCCGTCATCACCATGATCTTCCTTAGAAACAAATATCGTTATTCTAGTTATAAGGGACGTGTCAAATTTCCTCTGCGCCCTGTTCGCCCACCCATTCAAAAACCTCGGCAATAACGTCACCATGTCCAGAGACCCTCGCCTATTGTTATCTCCGACATATTATCTTCTTTATTGTCATCCTAAACCCATCCCGTAATTAATAAAAGATTATTTATTGTTTTTAACCGGATCGATTATTAATCTATCTATAATTAATATGCAAATTAGAGTTGATTTTTTGCATTTCGTCTTATGGTTCATTGCTGTCACTGGTTACAAAGCGTCGAAAATAAGATTCTGGCTGACTGGCTTAAATTGAATTTGTGGCGAGCGTTACAATTGAGAAGAACTTAATTTGGTACTTTCTTGGGGTGAGGTTGTACTTTTTCCGAGGTAGTGAGCGAATGAGGGAAGGGAGTGTGTAAGTATTTGAGGCTGTCGATGGCATATGGCAAGGCCAATAAGGCAGTGGGTGAGTGAGTTTGTGAACGACCGAGTGAGTGAGTGAATGAGCGAGGTTGTTTGTGAGTGAGTGAATAAGATAATGGGTGAGTGAGACTGTGAGTGATTCAGGCAGTTGTTGAGTGTGAGAGTGTGCTAGTGGGGGAGAATGAGGCAGTTTGTGAGTGAGTGAGTTAGTGAACGATTAAAGCAGTGGGTGATGGAGGTTGTGAGTGTTTAAAGCAATAGGTGAGTGTATTTGTGAGCGCGTAAGGCTGTGGGTCGGTGAGCTGATGTTGTTTAGGCAATTACTGGGTGAATACGCATGTGTGTGAGAGTGAGCTAAGAAGTAAATAAAGCAATTGGTGAGTGAACTTGCCAGTGATTGGAGCAGTTAGTGTGCTTGTGAGTGAGTGATCTAGTGAGCGAATGAGGAGTGATGTGTCAAGGCTTTCTCATTTTCTTATTTCTTTCATTTTTTCGACCGTAAAACTTCACCCAAAGGGGGGGACTTTGAGGGAACAAAGTTAATCAAAGATCATGCTCCCTTCAATACTCTTTCCAATCGAGATTTCACATAATATTATTTGAGAGTTTTTGAGATTAAACCGTAAACATCCTTTCCTTTTAAAATGAACCGAAGTGGAGAAGGATAAATTCATACCACATGTGCGTTCTCTAAAATCAAAAAACATTCTGTATCTTCATCGAGTCCAGTTTTTGCGCTCAATGCGAGCGAAAATGGAGATGGAGTGCGACTATCTGCATAATAAGGTAGCAGCCAGATTTGTGATGAAAGATATTGTACGAGTTAATTCGATGATAATGAAATGAACCCGACGATCCCTCTTGAACGTCAAATTAAACACCGGCCCTGAAGCAGACAAGGAAATTATATTAGCGATGAACACTGGCTTAACAGAATTACCCAAGTCGGAGTTTTGTGATCGTCATACTCACTGATTTCAATTTCTATAATTATTTCGAGAAATTTAGGAACTTTGATACAAATTATTATATTTTCCCCTTGTACAATTGTGCATTAGAAGATAAAAAGAAAAAAAAATGATCCTGATTTATAAGAAATTTCAATGGATATATTTTTATAACTTATTTTTCCTCTTTGTACATTGTATTTACATAAAAGGCAATATCGTTTAATAGGAACTTCTCTTGAAAAGCTTCTCTAATTTATAACAACTTTATATGCCGATGTAACTTGTTAGCTACTGAAAATATACGATGTACAAACGAACCGTGTTGTATCTCCTACGTCTTATAGACTTGTGCATGAAGTATTTCATCCATTATAGCAAATTAAAACTTAGTATTGTGTAATTAAATTCAACGTGTTTATAAAAAAATCTATTATTTTGGGTCATGTTTCAACCCTTTTTTAATCAGTGGTCAGTTCTTTGTTTTTGGTTTTTTAATCGGGACACCGATTCCATTCGCCAAGGAAGCCAAATATCTAGGGGTCATATAGTTCAGCGGCTCAAATGGAATCCACAACTAATCAAAGCTACCAAAAATTGCAAAATTGCTTCGGAGGGGGGTGCAGAAGGCTCTGAGCTAAAAGTTGGGATTAAACCCCAAAAGACATGGCTGTAGGCAAATGACCTGTGTTGAGATACGGGTCGGTGGTGAGGTGGACCAAGACTTTGCAGGCTAAGGCAATTAAGTGACACTCAAAAACAAGCTTGCCTGTGTCACTGGAGCTATGAGTACAACGCCCACTGCGGCCTTCCACCATTTTAATCCAAAGAGAAGCCAGAGCAGCAGTTCACAGGCTCATAAATGGACAACCTTCTGCAAGATTAGGCCATAACAAACAATAAAAACTTAGGAAGGAGATATAGATATAGGCAGATGCTATACTAGGCATGCCAACCGATGTCACAGGAAAGGGAAGAGCGGGCCAAAATCACCTCTGAAGGTCAACTCCTACTGAAATACCGACGGCTCAAAAACGAATAAAGGCACAGGGACTTTTAAACCTAGGTAAATACGCTACGTTTTTCCAGTCTGAAATCATAGCAATTGAACACTGCACCAAATAAATAAAAAGGCTAGAACACATTCCTAGATAACCATCATCTCTGGAAATCAGGCGCCACTTAAGGTGAGGATAAAAGCAAAAAGTGTATGGAATTGTATGGGAGCCCTGTCAGAAGTCAGTGACAACAATGGCTTGACCCTGGCATACTGGTCCCTGGGCATTTGTGGAATAGAGGCAGTGAGAAAGTAGACATGTTGGCCAAAAAAGGAGCCAATATGAATTCTCTAGTCCATGCACCCTATCTTGTCAAAAAAAAAAAAAAAATCGAAATCTCTTTTTCTAAAAGACCTATTGTGGAATTGTCCCTTTTTATTTCCTCCTACCTTAAAAGTACTTGAGGACTTAACGGGGATCTTTGCTAATTCTTCTAAGCATTAGTATTTCATCCAAAGAGGCTGTACTCTGATGTTTCATTTGTCAGCTGGTTTCTCTGTTTTTACCTTTTTTTTAAATGTGGTTGAATGAGCAAATATAAAGTCCTGTCATTTTCATTATTTGTCTTCATGGTTGAGATGTCGAGGAATTTATTTCATTGTTGTCCACCTGGTGAAACCAGTAAACCATTTCTTTCTCTATTCATTTGTCCCTTGCTGGTCTAAAAAGTGTGAAGGCTCCTGTTTTTTTGCTATTTTCTCTTCAATCCCCACCCACATCAGAGTGATATCTTTTTACCAAGCAGCCGGAGCTATGTTAAGCACTAGTCTAAAGCCGCGCTGTGCATCTTTTTAAGGATTTCATTAGGTCATTATTGAAGCATACCTCAGCCTTTCAAGCTGAAGTCAATGTGCCACAAAAATTTTAAATGAGACGCTGTCTAAAAATTCCTTATAAGATCGAACAGCCAAGCAGCTATGGGCAAATCATTAGCATGTAAAAGGGTGAACACATTACTTTGGTTAGACAGGGTTAAACTCAGGATTGGAATCTGAGAAACACACCAGAAAAACGCCTAAACAACATGAGTATAAGATGATGACCCTTTTTGTAGGTTATGCAATGACCCATATCTTCGAATACGAAGCACAGCTCAGTAGACATAACCTATGGCACAAGAAGTCTACGGAAAAGAATTTATTGTATTTATTTAAAATTTACTATTTATTAAAGGAAGGAATGAGTAAATTGAACTAAACTAAGGAACTAGGAAAAGTACAATAAGCCAGAAGGATGCAGTGTTAGGGGAAATACAAAACTGCAGCCTAGTATTTCCTTATTGTCTTCTTTGTCTGTTGCAAGGATCTCAAATTGAAAAATTCTATCTGGCCGATAAGTACTGCTGTGTCAAAATTTGTGTGACTTACTGCCATTTTAGGTCCATTTTTGTACCATAACGAGCTCCTGTTAGTTCGAGGGATTTTTCTCTTCCAAACTTCTCTTTTTATTTTTATTTGGAAGGTTCCGTTAAAGTTTTCTTTTAATTTCATTAAGACAGACATTCAAGAGGCGAACGATCGATGGTTGCTTTCTTTCTTGAGGAAGCACAATACAGAAATGCTCTAAAAGCATTATTCCAGATACTGACTGTAGCAATCCTTTCACAAGACTTTTAATCGACGAATTAATTTTACAATTAGCTTACTTTTTATTTATTAAAGTATATAATTTATTTATACCCTTTTTTTTTTGTTCTCAGGGCGAAATGAGCTGATCGCTAGGTACATAAAACTTAGAACTGGAAAGACCAGAACAAGGAAACAAGTGAGCTCCCACATTCAAGTGCTGGCCAGAAGGAAACTCAGAGAAATTCAGGCCAAGCTCAAAGTGGTCAGTACATCAGCACCACAAGTAATCTTTCTTTTTTCATTTTGATTATAATTTAATTTTAATTATTAGAATTTGACACTAATCAACGCATAAATGGTGTTTGGTTGAAATGAGTGAATGCAGACTAAAAAAAGTTGAATAAATGTGAAAAATAAGCGAACATGAGAGAGAGAGAGAGAGAGAGAGAGAGAGAGAGAGAGAGAGAGAGAGAGAGAGAGAGAGAGAGAGAGAAAAGTGATGGTATAGTGATAGTGATACAAGAAAGTTTACACTAACTTTATTATTGTTTTTTATTTTTTTATGTTTGCCCATTTTTATACATTTGTGTGTTTTGACTACAGAAATAAGTCATACTATTTTAAAAAATTGTAATAATTTAAAAAGTGGGTTGTTTATATTTACTTTATCCTTGATATCTTTAGCTGCAAGAAAAGAAATCAAGGATATTTAATAACATAGTTTAAGCCATAGGAATAAAGAACGAATTTGAATTTATTTTTGAAAGTCACTATAATTCTCATAAAGTTACAGCATAAATATTAAAAATAATTATAAGCAAAAATTGATTAATATATCTAAAATGGACTCATTAATTTTGAATAAATGCTTAAAAAAAATTTCATTTCAAGTATACACAAGGTGATCTGTTATATATTAGATGAATAGTGGAAAATTATTTTTAAAAAAATATAGGGAGGTCATTTAGGTGAGTTGGTTGGTTGGTTTAGGTGGTGCCGACGGACCATGCTGCCAAAGAGAAGGCACTCCAGACAATGTCATCCATGTCTTCGGCGCAGATTGTCTCGGCTACGGCGATTCACAACAAGACAGCTGCCGGTCTGGCGACATTAGGACTTACCCCACCTGTGACTTATACCACACCTGTAAGTAAACATCACCTCACCAACCAGCCAACTCCAAAACATAACTCTTTCACATACTAGCCATTTTCAAGAACTAACTCTTGTTTGAAACAAACCCACCAAGCAATTTTTATTTCACCATAATTTGTTTTATTCATTTGCTTATTTTTTAATCATATTTCACAAATGAGTTTTAATCTCTGAGTTGTACTAACTCGAGTTTTCTTTTTTTAAATTAATTAATTTTTTTAATAATGTTTCAAAAATGAGCTTTAATCTCTGAGTTGTACTAACTCGAGTTTTCTTTTTTTAAATTAATTAATTTTTTTAATAATGTTTCAAAAATGAGCTTTAATCTCTGAGTTGTACTAAACTCGAGTTTTTTTGTGGTTTTTTTTTAATTATTCTGTTTTGCCCTGCAAATAAAAAGTAATGATAGATTTTGTGTTTTAAAAACATTTGGTCCAAAAATATAATTAAATTTTAGATGATTTGCCTGTCTTGTATGTTGTTTTTATAAAGGTAAAACTAATTCCTGCTTTCTTTTCAGTTTTGGCAACCCGGTCTTCAACCTGGTACATCACAAGAGTAAGTTTAAACAATTATTTTCATTTCATTTAATAAAACTCAATAATCATTTCTTAAACAATTTCTGTTCTTGTTTATCAGTAAAGTATTGTGAGATTTTTTTCCCGAGGTCTGTGAAGAGATGAACATGTAGAGAACATCCTCGCTGGTTTCGTTTGTACACCACTTTTTTTCTGAGATGATTGTGAAATGTGTCTCACAGAGTAAACTAGTGAGGATAGGCAGACGATAAACAGGGAACACCAAATTGTATTTCTTGTATTACATACAACAACCAGCACATCCTTCCATTCAGTAAATTACCAAAGCTCCTTTATAGGTCACTAACCGCACTTCCCACAACAACCTCAACATTCCTTTTGTCAATTGATTCCACATACAAAAATTACACACCAAGCTCTCGATCCATCCTAACCCTACTGCCCTCTCTACACGTTCCCATCCCGCTGTCTCCTTACATGGCGATTGCCTCGAGACCTCCTTGCCACTTGATCTTTTATATTACATGGATATTCCATCAATGGTTATTTCTCTACCATTTGTAGTATATATTAATATTTATTGGCTACAAATAAATTAAATTTACCAACATGCCTTTTGCAAATCGGAAACATATTCTAAAGCATTGAGGTTAAGGATTAAGGTTAAAAACATCAGCCTTGTTACAACATAGCAGACTGCTCACCCTGACTAGCTACTGACCCATGGTCTCTGTATCTTACTCCACCTCAATGGACACTGACTTACGGTCTCTACGTTTGACTCCAACTCAGCTGACATTAGCTGTCACTGACTCACGGTCCCAGGTTCTGTCTCTGCCTCAACTGGCAATGACTGTCATTGTTTCATAGTCTCTGTATCTGTCTCCATCACAATGGACACTGACTCACGGTCTCTACATTTGACTCCAACTCAGCTGGCATTAGCTGTCACTGACTCACGGTCCCAGCTTCCGTCTCTGCCTCAACTGGCATTGACTGTCATTGTCTCACAGTCTCTGTATCTGTCTCCATCTCAATGGACACTGACTCATGGTCTCTACATTTGAATCCAACTCAGCTGGCATTAGCTGTCACTGACTCACGGTCCCAGCTTCCGTCTCTGCCTCAACTGGCAATGACTGTCATTGTCTCACAATCTCTGTATCTGACTCCATCTCAATGGACACTGACTCTCGATCTCTACATTTGACTCCAACTCAGCTGGCATTAGCTCTCACTGACTCACGGTCCCAGCTTCTGTCTCTGCCTCAACTGGCAATGACTGTCATTGTCTCATAGTCTCTGCATCTGACCCCATCTCAATTGGCAAGATTGAGAGGAAGAGAGTTGTAGTTCCTTTTGATCTGCCCCGTTTCTAAAGGATCTTCCATCATTTCTTAATTTCTCCCAATCAATCAGCTTTACATTCAGTGTCCTACAAGCAACATCTTTGAAGCTCTGCTCAACCATGATCTTCATTCTCTGTATCAATGGTTAAGTAATAACGGCATTATTTTAAGTCCTAAAATTTACAATAGATTTTCCTATCCCCTCCTATCAACGGTTCTTCTTTTAATTTTGGTCCTAAAGTTAAAAAACTCCAAGCCTACTTGGCATGACCATGTAAAACGGTCTACTCAAGACTCTTTGGCGCCTTAGCATTTTTACTCCACAGAAAACTAAGAGTTTTCCTTATTAAATCCCTAATAATTCCTTTATCCTCTTACTGTCGCACAATTTTTTTTTACTTTTCTTGGTCTCTCAATCTGCTCATTGTCTTCAAATTGCTTATCATTCCTGCATTAGATTCTCTGATCATGTTTTTTCCTATATTAACGTCATCAGCAACCTTAACATTCTAAGCGCCTATAAATTTAGAGTCTTCACACACACACATATTTAAAATTAAATAAAAACAAGTCCCCAATATACATTAACTTTTCCCCACATTCCTTATCCAAATGCACCAATTATATCAAAGCCTTCACACTCCTCTAAAACTTTGGCCTTATCCTTCAGAATTGCAGGGTTAGGGCTATGAAATTTGCTTGTTACAGAAGTACAATCTGCTTCCTCACTAGCTTGTTTCAAGTCCATGGCATATGAATTTTTAAAAGCGACATGAATCATCTTTTCATCACTCTTTCTTTTCTTTTTCCCGTTTCCTTTTTCCTGTTTTCTCTTTCTGCTTTTCCTTCTTAATATAGATTCATCATTCGTTTATAAATAATATTTTCAAGAATATATTACTGTCATTATTGTTTTGTATATTTTGTTATATGTTTTATTGTTATTACTATTATTACTATTTTACTATGTTTATAAAATTAAATTTATTACTAAAATAAGTACAAGTAAGGGGCTTAAAGCACTATTTGTACCTTTAAAATAAGTGAAATAAATAAATAGTATATTGGAGTAGTTGATACAGTGATGTGGTTTATTTGCTTTATGAGATTTTTTTTTGTCTGTTCCTCCATTTCTTGTACCGTTCTTCCAAATTGGATAGATATTCCTGGAGGTTTTTGAACAATGGCCTAATTGCATTTTTACTTTTTATCGCCAAGATTATTCAGTGGGGGGGGGGGCAAAATTCTTGTATTTGTCATCTATCAGTTCGGATTTTATTACAGGAAATGCCTTAGGAATTTTCTTTAGGTGAAGGTTTTAGCTTAATGACCAACAAGTTAAAGTTGTATTTTGTAACAGAGTTTAAAGATGACAGGGACATTGTCCCAGGCGAATAAAGGTTTTATGTTTTTATAGCTACCTTGAAGAGCTTAATATAAGCATAACTGATGAGAACAAGGCAAAATTTTCAAAGGAAAGAAATAATTTAAGTAGGGAACAACAAAGCTGTTAGTAAAACTGTAAATGTGTTTAGAAATTTGGAGAATGGTTGAAGTAGATGAACATTTCAGTTAGTTTGATGAACTACAGTCAACCTGAACAATGAAATGTAGATGATCAAGTCATCATTCATCTCCTCGCAGATCTCAAAAAGATATCGCACAATACATTGATTGAATCTATAATGAATTTGTACAAAATGTAATATTTCTGCTTTAATTGCCGCAGTATTATGATAATATTTAGTTTCACTCACAGAAACGGGAATATTCATTTATTAATTTCCAGCGTGAAACCATTTTCTGGAGCTCCAGCGTACACTGGAAGTAAAGCAGCGGGAGGAGTCACAGGAAGCACTGGTGAACTGGGAGTTCCTCCTCCACCACCATGGGACGGCAGAGCAATAGCGACTCACAAGCTTCGGCTTGTAGAATTTTCTGCATTCATGGAGCAGCAGAGAGAGCCTGATACTGTTAGTTAATTATATTATTAAATTTGATCTATTAGTATATTATGTGTTAGTGTATAATGCTCATTCAGCAAGAGAAATTAGTCAGCATTGAAATAAGAAATAAACACAAGTAGAATTTTCCATTTTGTTCCATCCAAATTGTTTCTTTTAAAGCACTTTTTTAAAAACTGTTATCTCTTTTTTGTTCACAGTATCACAAACACCTTTTTGTTCACATTGGAGGACCTACTACTTATTCAGATCCACTTCTAGAGGTATGAAATTGTACAAAATATGTTTACTATATCTATTATACAATTTGCACATTTTTTTAATTTTCTACCATCATTAGAGACGTCAGGTAACACATCCAGTAAATGATTAATTGTGAAAAAAAAGATGTGGGTTTTGTTGCCAGCAGTTGGAATATCTGGTCCAACTGTTATAGGTGTAAGACTACTGTCTAACATGAAGACTAACAAAATGGAAAAAGGTTTAATAATAATAATAATATTTGAAAAATGGCAAAAAGGAGGGAAAATTCAAAAGGTGAGGTTGTGATGGGAAGTTGGTGTCCAAGTGGATCGAGGTCACGATAGCTCAAGTGGTAGAGCAGCGGCGTATCAAGCCGAAGATCGTGGGTTCAAATCCCGCTCGTGCCATTGACTTTTTTATCTCAACTAAAAACCTTAATTAATTGCAATGATTTAATTGTTCAAGCGCACCACGAAATTTGTGAATTTAATAATAATATTACCTAACCCGTCCCGAACCCTACTGAGCTTAAACATTCCTAAATCAACCCAACCCTTACTCTACCTAACTTAACCATTCTTTACCTAAGTTGTCCCTAACCCTACCTAACTTAACCATTCCTAACCCTAATCCATCCCTATCCCTACCTAGCTTAACTTTTCCTAACCTAATCTGTCTCTAATCCTGCCTAGCAGCCATTCCTACTTTAACCTAGTCCAACCAATGCACTCCCTGGTAACTCGAAACAATCGCACAAAACATATCCGTGTTAATAAAGGAATATCTTGTAGTTTGTGTCATCTTATGATTGACTTGTCTCTAATTACACATGTTAACCCTTAATACCAGTTTGGTATATCTTGGTCTATGCCACAGGAGAGTCAGGTGGACACATATTTTAAACTGTCAAGTGCCAGGGGTTGTCACACAAGTGGAATCAGAATCTTGGGGACAATATGTTATGATTACCATGAAATACTGTCTGAGACTTATGCAAGCATCTGACAAACAAAAAATCAATAGTTATGAAATATGCGTGAGTATGTGTTTCACAAACGGACCTGTGAGGGTTAATCAGAGAACAAACAGCAAATCATTGGAAATGAGATTGAATCTATTAAACAAAATTATATTTCTTTTCTTGCATTGGCAGAAGCATTAATCAAAATGCTTCATAATTATAGCTTGTAAAGAAGTGGATGCCCGTCCTATTCAAGGAAAGAGGGTTGCTACATCACAGATAAGTTCTGTACCTATCAGACAGATAGGATTTTATAATGAAATAATAAGAGAATGGAAGGATTCCATTGCGTCACGTCTAGGAAAGCACCTGTGCACCATTCCTTCCGCTCAACGGAGGTTGGGATAATGAACACTGAGACACTGTTGAGGTAATGTAATGTCAGTAATGGTAGAGTAATGTCACCTGAATGGGGCAGCGGTAGCCGAGTGGTTAAGGCGTCAGACTCTCGGCTAGTAGATCCCGCGGTCGTGGGTTCGATCCCCACTGTCGCCTCTGGACTTTTCTGACGCCTAAGGGGGACCGGTGGCCGCAATTGAAAGAAATTGACACAGCAATCATCAATGGAAGGGGGGATCGGATCTCAGTGACCCTGAATTTGGTCCCAACCCCCTTGAAAAATGAGTTTCTTCGATGGAAGAACACCGGTACAATGGGGGCGAGCCCTCCCCCAAAATACGGAGCCAGGGATAAAGTACAATAAGCTGTACAGCTCAGCTGCAGTGCTCAGGAGGGAACTCCTCCAGTCCCTGGTATCAAAAAAAAAAAAAAAAACCATGCCACCTGAACGCGAATTTATGCATTCGGGCTTTCAAGGATGGGAAAAAAAGTGTTTCCTAATTTTTCAAGTATTTTACCGAGAAATGTCAAATGCGGTGCGATATGATGCAGGGAGATGTTGAATTGCAAAACCAAATTAAACAGGTTAGATGAGCAAAACAAAATCATGCTGTACTGAAGAAGAAGCGAAAGAAAGAACGAAAAATGTCCTTGTTGCAAGGAAAGAGATTGCTACTGCTGATAGATCCTGAACGGTTTTGTTATAGAGATCCACACTATCAACAAGCATCTTAGGAAAGAAAAGGTGAACGTATGAGGCTAAATTTAGAAACAAAGATGTGTCAAAGGGAGCAGGGAGAGACTCCGAATCGTAGCATGTTAATGGGGCACTGCAGACTGAGATACCACTTGAAAAAGATTCATATATATGCAGGTCCTTCAAAGGAGCAGAAAAGACCCCGATGCATTAACTATACTGTGCCACACTATCAAACAATGTAGCAGAATTACAATGTTAAAACCAAGCCTAATAATCGAATTCCTTTCTGTCCACAATTTTACATGCAAATAGGCAAGAGATGGGCCAACTAGAGTTTACATAAAATTATAAAAATAAATAAATACTTATTTTAGGCATTTCGGGCTTATCGTTCCATTTTTTTTTTTTTTAATTATTATTTTAACACTCCTTAAATCATTATGTATGTGCAAATATATAGATATGTACACACTTGCAGATTTTACAATGTAAATTAATTAATTACAGGCTGTAGACGTTCGACAAATTTATGACAAATTTCCGGAAAAAAAGGGAGGTTTGAAAGAACTGTATGACAAAGGCCCCCAAAATGCCTTTTTCCTGGTCAAATTTTGGGCTGATCTCAATACCAATATCCAAGATGAAGCCAATGCTTTCTATGGAGTAACCAGTCAGTAAGTAGTTTTGAAATGTGACTTGATTATGACATGGTCGGTTGTTTAATTTAATAAATTAATGTATTATTCTATTTTTTAGATACGAAAGTAATGAAAACATGACTATTACCTGTTCAACAAAAGTTTGTTCTTTTGGAAAACAAGTCGTTGAGAAGGTTGAAACTGAGTATGCAAGATTTGAAAATAGCAAATTTGTGTACCGCATTCATAGGTCACCAATGTGTGAATATATGATCAACTTCATCCATAAATTGAAACACCTGCCAGAAAAATATAATAAGAACAGTGTTTTAGAAAACTTTACTATCTTACAGGTAAATAATCTTGTTGTTAATTATTTTTTAAGTTAGTAGTTAATGTTCGAGCAGTTGTGCCTACTGTTAAAACACTTGTGGCCGTGCGAGCTCATCCTCTTTAGGTGGGAGTTAACAGGGCAGTGGTTGTGGTACATTCCTCAAATCCTGCTGAAAACGTGGAGTTCGCCTTACTTTTTCAGAGATTTATAATTTCCATACCTGGTGCTTATGTACAGGCTTGAGTTTTTCTTTTTCAAGCCATTTTTCCAGCTCCAAGTTTAGCATATTCTCTTGTATGCCTAGTTGGGGTTCCGATCTTATGAGTGCCCCCTTTTTTGGCTAGTTGGCCTGTTCAATTCCTTTTTTTTAGGGTTAGTTATACCAACTTTTTTACTCATGAATAATCTGGATCACGGTTAGTCTTGGTGAAAAACAAATTCAGTTGTTACTGCCAAACTTTTGATCTATTTTAAGATCATCTTCAGGGCAAACCAAGCTTAAATATGCCTACAAATTGGCATAATCATGATTGTTTCATTATGAATACAATGGTTTCAAATTCCCTTGAAGACTGACGCTGTCCCAAAATTGCCAAGGGCTGTAACACTATCGCTTGTGGTGTCCTTTTCCTTCTTTACCATCATGTCCCAAAACCTTAAGGTAACTTTATTGCGTTTTTTAGAGTCAGGCGATTTAAGTACATTCAGACTAGTTCGGAGCTAAAAGCATGTATTTAGTGCCTCACTGAAAGTAAGGTCTACCTTATATATTCTTCATCATCTCTGTGCACTGAGTTGGAATATAGTCAGAAGCAGTCTATTGGGTGTAATTTGGCGGCATTAAACCTGCTCGGTTTCATTTTTGATCAATTAATGTACCATGAGGTAGCATACCTCCGTTTCCTATATGATATGAATGGGTGTGAGATCAAGTGGTTTTCATCAAGTGCGAGACAAATATACATTGCCTCTGTTATGTTACGACATGTCAGTCTTTTTAGACTTTACAGCTTGTTTTTTTCCTCTTATACAGTGTGTCCACTATACTAGTCCTCCATATGTGACCTTTGCGGTGAATAACCACTATGTCATCCTTAGTTTTATTTCAGTTTTTGGTGCATAATCTTTGACTAATAATTGTTAGTTGCCTATGTGACTTCTTTTCTTGAGCCTCTCATCAAGGGTTATGTCTAGGTACTTAGTTTCTTCGGAAGAATTTCATAATAGCTTATCTGATCTTTGTGGTTTCCATTGTTGTTGTGCGACAAGTATACAATACCCCTATTTACTAGTCTTTTTAGACTTGGTAGTTTGTTTTATACCCCCTTATACAGTGTGTTTAGCCTCTGTATGCTCCTATGTGACCATTGTGTATAACTGCTATGCCATCCTTAGTTAAATTTCCCAGTTTTTGGTGTAATCTCTAACTAATGCTTAATAGTAGCCTATATGACTTCTCCTCTGGTCAAGGGTAATACACTTAGTTTCTTTAGAAGAATTTTGTGATAGCTTTTCCTAACATCTTTGCGGTTTCCATCGCTGTTGTGATTGTTCAGTTTGTCAATGGTATGGTATGGTGGAAAGGATACTAGGAAGCGGGGTTTGTATTCCCCAGGCACTGCAGCCTTCTGGCTTATTGTACCTTCCTAGTTCCTTAGTTCAGTCAATAGACTCAATCCTTCTTCTTAGAAGTATCAGGTCATTGACTGTTGTCGCTGCAATTTGATTCCCTAAGTCTTTTCCGTACGTTAGGTAAAACCTCCATTGAGCTGTTGCTTCACATTCAAAGATGATATGAGTGGCTGTTTCCTCCTCCTCATTACATAATCTGCAGATGGGATCATCGCTGTATATACCCATGTTGTGTAGATGTTTTCTCAGATACCAGTGACCAGTTAGTAGTCCCACCACTCCTCTGAGTTTTGCCCTCTCCAATTGCAGCAGTGTTTTTGCCAATCTTGGTGAGGGTTGTTTCATCCTAAGTTTACTATGTCTAGCGCCGCTATAGTTTATACGCTTCTCCTTTTGTTTTGTTTGGATCCATTCTGCGATGGAGGATTGTATATTTGTTTTTCTTATCCCAAATATTGGTTCGGGGCCTATGTATGGTCTTGGAGATCCTCCTCTGGCCAGTTTGTCTGCTTCCTCATTACCCAAAATTCCCCTGTGCCCCCAAGATATCATCAGGTTGTTGTTTTCCCAAGTTTTGGAGATTTTGGATGCATTCACTGACTAGTTTTGATGTAATTCTTTTACATGCTAATGCTTTAATAGCTGCTTGGCTGTCTGATCTTATGAGGATTTTTTTGTCAATGTAACCTCTTCTAAGATTTTCCAGGGCACAAGCATTGATGGCATGTATTTCCGCTTGAAAGACCGAAGTATACTTCCCTAATGTGTTTGATTGCTCATATTTTGAGCTTGTACAGAAAATGTCTGATCCGGTTCCTTCGTTTGTTTTGGAGCCATCTGTGTACCATATCATTGTATCTGATGCTCTCCTGTGTTCTTCCTCTCCATTATAGTCTGTTGAGACTTTATAGAAAGTTGTGAAGATTGTTTCTGGGATCATGTAGTCAGTCCCCATTTCTAATAAAGGGTGTCTGATTTTGTTGATTATGGTTGTATGCCCGAATTGTTTAGTTCCTTTCCAACTTAATTGTTTCTGGGGCCTAAATGAGCTTTACCTAGCCTCTCCTTGTATGAATATTTCTAGTGGAGGTAGGTTTAGCAAGGTTTCTAATGCGTTTGTACGGGTTTTTCTAATCGCCTCTGTGATACATAGATTTGCTAGTCTTTGTATGCTTTTTTTTTTTTAATTTTACCCTTTCCACCACCCCGCCGTACCTGAGGAAGACCCCATACCGGCGGACAAATGCTTTAGCTTAATCGAATTTGTATATGTAAGGGATTTCAAATACATAAAGGGCTTTCTCTTTTCTTATATTTATGAAGATAGCTTGCGAAGTTTCCATGTCCTGATAGCATTTGGGTGGTCCAGTAGTCGGGGTGTAGCCATTTTGCTTTTTGTCTTTTTTCAACGCTTGGGAAAAATTTGGATGTTAGCCGACCTTTATTGCTATTTGTCCATCTTTCTTGCCATGATGCCCTTGTCATTTTTCCCAAGTACTCTTTTGCCTCCTTCCCCGTTGTGCTTCGGAACCAGTCTATTTCTTCTTGGCTTGCTCCTATATCAATAGCCTTATTTTTCTTTTTTTGGTGGATGACCACCCTTTCTTTAAGGACTAGGTCTATTGGCGGTGCGTTGGCTATTACTTGTAGAGCATGTGTTGAAATCGCCCTGTACCCTTTTGTGGTTCTTATGAGAGCTATTTGTTGAGTCTTTGTATGCTGCCTAATGTTTGGGTAGCTACTTTTGGTTGAGCTGTTCCACCAGATTAGTGATCCGGATACAGTTTGTCAAACTCAAGACCTAATAAAAAAATTAAAAAATTACCCTGGCCCAACTGCTCGTAGGTTAACGATATAAGAGATACACTTTTATTGATTATTTGTACATTTGAAATAATGTCGTAGGTTGTGACAAATCGTGAAACCCAGGAAACACTGTTGTGTACTGCGTATGTTTTTGAAGTGTCCACATCAGAGCATGGAGCGCAGCATCATATATACAGACTTGTTAAGGACTAAACGGACATTAAATGATTGTACACTACTAAATCATGTGTTTTTGTGTAAACTGAAGATATATTACAGGTATAATGGATATCGCCAAAAAAAATAAAAAATAAAAATAAAAAAATGGCACCTTTACTATCTCATTAAAGTGGTTAATTAGAATTTGATTGCTTCTTGTTCAAGTGTACTTTCTCATTAGGACCACTAACAACCTAAAAATTCTTTTTATTGTATAAAGTCATATTTAAAAATGTTTTGTTGGTACAAATTCAATATCGTGTTTAACACATTTATATTTATATGGAAAATTTAATGTAAGTATTATGCTATATTGATAATTTTTAATTGAAATATACTTATACATATATATAGATTGTTATTTATATATTTGTATGGTATATATTTTGAGATCGTGATAATTTAAGGAGCTATATAACTGTACGTTTCAAACTAAGTATATTTAATACTTTTATGGATTAATGACGTACCTTATATCCTACTTACACACAGTGCCTATGTCTCACCAATAATTAATTGTTTAAACAATGCATTTACAAAAAAAGTTTAGAATGTATTTATTTTATTATTATTTAAGACTTGTGCAATCATTTAGTAAAAAGGCATTTATTAACAGACAAAGATTTATGGATTTTTACGTTCATGCTAAAAATTGTGATCACTGATTTATCAATACATTAATTATATATTTGTCCAATTTCATGTTAAATTTTTACAAAAAATAAATTATTTCAAGTTCTGTATTTATTTAAGGGAAACAGGGTATTTAACGTTTTCCCCTCCTCGAAATATATTACTGCGAATACTTCCTTCCAAACACTTTATTTTAGTCTATGTTGGTAGATTTGCCAGATTTTTAAATGTATTAGTCGTAACTGAAGTTTTTTAGAAAAAGGATTTTGTCTGCATTTTGTGACAATAAATAGTGCCAGTTACTAAGATATTTGACAATATTATAGAAGGAAAACATTTTTATCTAATAACTGCTTTCTATATTTAAAAAAAAAATGTAAATGCATTGTTTCGATATTTATGAGTGGATGAGGATGTACATATTGTGAATAGCTGAATGTAGTTTGAAAAAACCATTAAAACAATCATTTGATCTCCTGTTATTTAGTCGTTGAAGACAAAAACAGCTATTCTATGGGTATATATTAATAAAAAATATATATATACATATTATTTTATTTTTTAATATAAATATATAAACAACTTAGGCCATATAGATTGTACTTTGCATGAAGTTGACGTTTTGTTAGTTTTATTTACATATTTTTATAAACTTTTCTGTTAATCCTCAATGCATGCATATTATCTTTGAAATCCCATTGAATTTTAGTACCCTATAATTGAATTAATTGTATATTTCATACCGCGACACATTTTATATGTTTGTTTTTTGTTTATCGAAATGTTTGTTTTTTTTTGGCTCTGATTTAAATATTTTAGAATGCGTGATACAATTTTAAATGGACAAAAAGCTTGAATGATTATAAATTAGTTTTAAATTAGAGCGTGAAACTCTTAAGTAAGATTTTAGTAAAACTAAAATTCTCGCAGCTGGCGAAGAAAACCGTTTAATTTGCGGATTTCCACGTGCTATAAAATTTATATAATTATACAGTACTCTCTTAAAAAGTAAAATAAAATAAATTAAATTCACGAATGGGGTACATCTGAAAAATTATGAAGTACAAACAGCTTCAGAATCAGGGAAGTGCGCTGCATTTCATGACTAAATGAATAAACCTAAGAAACGTTTAAGAAAGATTATTTTTTAAATTAATCACATCGAGATTTACTGCATTTTGGATTAACAAGAATCACAGTATGCCTAAAGAGACACTTCCAGAAATGTGACAAACACATAAGTGAAATATGATTCTCTAATAAAAATAATAATAATAACGGTAAAATCTTCTGTGAAGATTTTATTTACTATAACTATTACCATGATTTTACTGTATTCTATATATTTTTAAGTACCAATATTGTTAGTATTGTATAGGCCATATCTAAACTGCCATATCAGAATTTTTGTTTTAGTTTCTATAACTAAATTTTTTAATTTTGGCTTTTATTTGGGGTGAACAATATTCATCCTCGCAGTCAATTATAACATATTCGCTTTTACTTTTAATGCGTCTATTGTTTTGAGAAAAAAAAAACAAGTTTATTGCAACCCAATACATAACAAAAATTATGAGGTGATTTGTGCAATGTTATCTTAACATTATCATATGTCCAAAATGTACCTTTTACAGTATGCAAATATTTTATTTATGTATATGTTGAAGGTGTTTTATGTAAGTAATTTAATTGCTTTATGTTGACATTTATGTTTTTTTATTATTATTATTTTTATTTTTTTTAATTTTTTTTTTTTGGGTAGGCTAAGCTAATATGGACAATTGTTATTTTAATTTTGTAGCTTAAGTAAATATCGTGTAAATCAAATAGACCAAATCACTGCAAAACTTCCTTGCATATCATTGATTGTACATATTGAAACGTTTGTATCGAGAGTATTTATATATAGAGAGAAAAAAATCAACTCAAGGAAACTAATTAGTTCTTTTTTGACCTTACTTTGAATCAAAACAAACTGAAATTGAAATCAGAAAAAAACCTTAGATAAAAATCTGAATGCATTTTCATTTTGCAGTGTTTTAAGATAAACATTTTCTGTGTGCTTAATATAGCTAGGTTTTCTTCTTTTTTTAAAATTAAATTCCGTCATATAAATATATATTATATATATAAATTATATGTAATACGACTAATTTTTAAATTTATCTAACCATTTATTGATAATACTGTGCAAATTGCAAAAAAAAAAAAAATCAATGTGTAAAACCTTGCTAATTCGCAGGCACTATAAACATTTCTTTATTTTTTTAATTATTATTATTTTTTAATCAATAATATGGTACTATGTACAGATAAAAAGTTTGATAATAAGTGTATTTATTTACAGTGTAAAAATAATTTAAAGAGTATTTTATTTTAGAGTTTGAAAATGAAATCATTCATTATAGAAAATTGTTACTAAAATTTGTTATCTTTTATTATTATTTTATATTCAAAATGGTATTGAATATGCTTGAAATTTTTTCATTAAAAAATATTGAATCAGATATAGTTATATATATAAAAAACACAAGAAATTTCAAGAGCAATATTCTTTACCAATAAGACCTGTTTGTACTTAAAAATTATTACACAGAATTTTAGTTATAGTTTATTTTATGATTAAACACTTATAAAAAATTCAAAACTGAAGTTGATACTCATTTAAAAAATCAGTATTTTCAATATTAGGGCAGTATTTTAGGGGACACAAATGTTTTATCGATTCAGTTTATTAGTAAATGTGATAAATTCAATATGTAATCCGCAAAATCCTATTGTACAGTTAATTTAATGTAATACTTTCCCAAATGTATTTTTGTGGCTGGCAAATGTAATTACTTAGCACAAGTTTTAAGCATAATAGCTATAATAAAGATTTTTGTACAGAAAAAAAATTTACACATGGATGTTGAATCATTTCCAATATAATCTTAAAACAGTATGAAGTTAATTGTACTTTTGATTTGAAAATGTATCAGCTATATTATAAAAGGTTTATTCTGCAATATAAACCTAAATTAATCCATATTTGCTTAGTGGTCATAATTGACCATATTAATTATCCCAATGAATTATTCTTTTTAGCTAAGGTTTTTTTTGTCTCAACCTTAGATAAAAATAATAATTAATTGGAATAAAACTAAAGTATTGATTTAAGAACCTTATCTGTCCTACATTATGCATCCAACCAGTTTTCAATTATTGCCAACTACTAGGAGAAGCTACAAAATGATCCACGTTTAAATTTACACCCACGCGGCAAAATTGGACAAGTAAAAATAACTTTTCAGGATTGCGAATTTAATGACCATTGGTAAAAATTAAATTTTTGTACCTACTTGCACATGTTTCATTAAATTAAATGTGTCCCAACTTGGGTGAAAAAATAAAAAATAATTAAATTCACTAATTTCGTGGTCCGCTTGACCAATTAATACATTACAATTAATTAAGGTTTATACGCCGCTGCTCTTCCACTTGAGCTATCGTGACATCAAAAAAATTGAAAAATGGCAAAAAGGAGGGAAAACTCATAAGGTGGGGTTGAGATAAAGTTGATGTCTGAGTGGATTGAGATCACGATAGCTCAAGTGGTAGAGCAGCGGCGTAACTAGCCGAAGGTCGTGGGTCCCAATCCCGCTCGTGCCATTAACTTTTTTTCATCTCAACTAAAAACCTTAATTAATTATAAAAAATAATGAAATATGGAGAAGCTCCTTCGAATCAAGAGCCAGGTTGAAAGGATGATCTGAATCGTAGAAAAGAGAGGTGTCACATACAGGCTGTTTCTTTTATTTACTTATTTATAATATAAGCTGTACATGTAAGTCTCAAAAAATAGCAATCATAATCATAAAAAAATAATGAAAATAATAATCTAAAATAAATAGCATAAAAGTAACTAACATAATATATAATAAAAATAATATGATCAAAACAAAAGACTAGAACGTTAAGTGTTCACCTATATAGATTTTTTTAAAGTATATAAAGAGTCTGAGTAAAATCCACAACTGGAATTGGGTTTCCCAGGGAGACGAGACGACTAAGCATGTAATACCTCGCATAAACGGTGCGATGGTTCTCCACACAAAAAAGTTTGAACCCCTCACAAAAGAAGTGGAGGAACTTGCAGGCCAAGACTTGAGAGAATCTTTAGAGAGAATATATATAAGAAGGAAAAACTTATTCAGACTCCAAAAATGCTAAAAAGACTCCAGGATATGGCCTTATCACTGGAGAAATACTAAAACAATTGCCAAAAAGGGTATAGTTAAACTAACATACCTATTTAATGCTGCAATCGGACTGAAATATGTTCCCAGACCTGGAAATTCGTAGAAGTCATTATAATAAAAAAATACAGGAAAACCGGCGAACGAGGTTAAATCATATAGACCAATATCGCTACTACCAACAGTACCTAAACTCTTCGAAAAGTTATTATTAAAACGAATAAAACACATCTAAGAATTGAAAACTTTCCATTTGAAGGTAAGACAGGCATCCCTCCCGTGCCACCAAAAAATATTTCCAAAGGAAAAAGCCAAAAAAAAAAAAAAAAAAAAAAAAAAGACAGGCACCATGCCATCTGTGTAAACTGAAGCCCAGTAAAAAGAAGCCTATCAACATAACCACAGTAATTAAGTGTGCCAAATTTAAAAGCCCAGATCACCGTTGAAAAATAATTTTAAAAAAACTATCGGCCAAAGGTGAGAACCTGTACAGAATTTGAGATGAGAATGAGATGGAACCGTTATGCACAACCCTGTAAGATTGCAGAAAAAAAGAATCATTCCTGACCACCAATTTGGATTCCGAACAAGACATTCAACAATAGACCAAATTCACCGAGTAACGGACATAATACAAAAAATCTCTTGAAGAAAAATAAATTTGTTCTGCTATCTTCCTTGATTTCTCACAAGCTTTTGACAAGGTCTGGCACGAAGGACTCGTCAATAAACTAAAAGGTATGCTACCAAAGCAGTATGTCGATATTATCAGTTCCTACCTAACTGACAGACTGTTTAGAGTCAAACAAGAAGATCAATATTCAAAATTAAAAACAATAAATGCAGGAGTGCCACAAGGTAGCATATTAGGTCCACTGCTTTACTTGTTATACACCAGTGATTTTCCGAAAATAGATGGAGTAAAAATTGCAACGTTTGCAGATG